TGTGACATTGCCATGCCGAATTGTATTCCTCAGTTGTGTGAAGGTTCTTGTCAAGTATTTTCATTTTTGACTATAAATCCAATCTATAGAGTATTTTCAAAGGGAATAATTACAGCAGTCTGCCTTCTGTCAATAGGTATGAAACTAGAATAGTTGTTCCATTTTGAAGACGTGTATACCTGTATTTTGTATCTTCCCTCCTCCCCTCCACTGCCAGTGGTGTGTATTCTTTGGGTACTTTGAGTTTGGGAGCTTTTTTTCCTTCTACCTCATCATGGAGAGGACACAGAATGCCCTTCATAAAAGGAGGGTATTGACTGTTGATTTGTGACAGAGGCTGCTGTGCCTCCATCAAAAAAGGACCCCCAGTCACGGAAAGGGAGGGAGGTGCTGGCTTGTTATCAGGCTGCAGATCAGTAATTATAATTTCTGTGCACTTCTAGAACTGTTACTGCGGAATCTTGTAGAAGCCTATTTGAAAGTGAACTCTACCACTTTGCTCATCAGCAACAGGAAAACAGGTTGATTATTTGATTCTTAGATTTCAAATTTCTTCATGAAGGAGACAGGTTGGCCCTAGCATCCAAGCTATAGTTTCATAATCTCAGATGAATTGAATTGAAATATTGTTGCTAGCTTGGCAGTTTCAAACTCAACTTTCTTCTCTTTTTAGTCAACTGTGTCACAATAACTTGGTTTTTATTTGCTTGTGTTTAGCATTAGATTCACTTCAGTTTATGTCCGTATTACAAAATAACAAATAGTGGGATATTTCTTCCACTATTAACATTCTACTGGAATAGAACATGTTCTTTCTTGTGCAACTAAATTTAATCAATTTTTCTACATGTTTAGTTACTAATTAATGGACTGCTTCATTCAAAGGCACTTTTTCATTTTGCTCTATATAGAAAGTTGTCATGGTTTTAGGGGAGATTTTTTTGAGATCACAGGAAGTGAAGGTACCGAAAACATGTATATAGCTTCAGTTTTTGTAAAGAAGTTCTTGTTCTTATAACTCAAAATTTCCTGCCCCATGTCCATCTGTCCTCCCCCAAGTAGGAAGATTCTGTAGTTCTATGCAACTTTTGTGGGGTTGCAAGTTTACATTTTTAAAAAAACTCTTTGACCAGATTCTCCTTATTCCGTAAGTTTTGGCAATATGCTAGGATCAGCAACCTATGATAGATATCTCAGATAACTTCCTCTTTTCACAATTGTTGCAAGAGTTTCAAGTTACTGATTTAAAAAAGAAAATACAGCTTTATGGTAGGGACAACATTTTCCTAGCTTCCTAAGGAAGCAGTCTACATGTTGTCTCTCTTGATTTTTGACCCGCAATAAGCTTTCAGCCTGTTGTCCAATTTCGAGCAAACTTGATAAAGGAGTCTAAAATATGTAAGTTCCTGTAATAGGGGTGGATAGTGTATGGCTACAAGAGTAATCACAGCTTATTTTTGTCCCTTGCTGAACTAGGCAATCACCAGCATAGAAAGGGAATGTAAGGGAGCTGAATAACATAGCGGGGTGTACTACTAGAAAATAAAAAGAACTGAGGATTTTGTAGCTAGATACGGAAATCGTGGTGGGAAAGCTTAGTGTATTGATGTCATCTGTGAGATGCACCACTGCTGAAAGCCAGAATTTAATCTGTTTTGTTAATTCTTTTGCTCATGGAACTACTTATTTTTGAGATTTTAAATAAAATCATTAAAATTGTTCTGTGTGCCACTTGCTGTATGTTGCTGCACAGCTAGTTCTGAATTGAGGCTATTTTGTTTTTCACTATTCTTGAAGTTCTTTTATTTCCTCTGTTATCTATATTATCTATTTCGTCATTGATTGTCAGCAAAAAGAATCGTTTTTTTCCAATCTGCATAATCTGATGTGTTCCCTGCTCTATAGTACTACTCTTCTGTGCTAAGCAGGCAGTTATTTATCGTCCAGAGTTTTGTTTGTTTGTGGTTGGTTTTTTTTTTTTTTTTTTTTTGCAATGGCCTTTTTGTTAAGCCTTTCACTCCAGCAAGGCAGGATATATGTGCATTTTATCTGTCAGAACCTGAAACCGTGTTCTACAGCTGTGTTAGCGGTGTTAAGCACAGCCAGACTTTACCTGAACGGTGTTACATGTCCATTTCCACCTGCAGTTGAAGAACTGTGTTCTGTTTAAAATGCTGAAGGTTGTATTTAACCATGCTGTTTATGCCTCTGGCAAATTACACAATGCTGTTCATCACAAGCTATAGCTATTTGGCTTTTCAGTAATATGGGAAGGACTTCAAGGTGGTTTGTTTGTTTTAAACATTGATGTGGTTCATAGTGATTTGTTCAGGCTTTCATTCCTTCCTGATCCAGAAAGTGATTTATCTCTCCCCAAGCCCCAAAAGGACAACTTGATATGTTTGAGACACTTTAAATATGTACTTTCTTGGCTTTCTAATATGATATGCACATAGTTTTTATACAGGTATTTTTGAAATGGTGTGAAAATCAAGGATTTATTTGTGTGTTCAGCATACAGTTCTTATTCGAATGCTTGCATGGAGTAATATCTTGGTTGCATGACTAGTTCCAGAAGGTGCATGTACTTTGTGTATTAGGTAAGGTATTGCTAAATAAAAATACTTAGCCCAAACAGAGTGTGCAGATAGGTCATATTTGTCCTGTATTTTGCAACAGCAACAAATAGTGAGTGTTTTTAATACTACTACTACTAGCAACAAATAATAGCTTACCTCATTCCACTGGCAAACTAGTTTACCGCTTGTCTTTCTTTTGAAATAGTTTTTTGCCTGTGATTTTATAACTATCTGCTTGTATTCCAGAATTTTATTTTTAAGAGGAAGAATAAACCTTATCATTAAAATAGAAGCAGCAGCAGCTCTGCAGTTATTAAATATGATTTTGAAAAATTAAGAAAAAAAATCTACAATGGCTTTAAAATTTTGGAGTTGTTTTACCTTTCTGGCAAAATATCTTTCTTTTTTATTACTTGACTCTCACCAAAATTTTTTTTTTTCCCACTCATTATCATTGACATTTTATGAGAGTGATAGCATTTGTGGTGTCGAGCTCTTATGATTTGATCATAAGTGTTGTGATATTTCATTATTTTTACCCTTAAAATTCACGGTTCCTGGAGCCAGATAATTTCATGAGAATCTCATCTTTTTCAAAATTTTTGTACATTTAGTCGTTTTAATGCATTCAAAATACAAAGGGTCAAAAATCTCATCCTTTTTATTAATTTGAAATCTCTGACAGAAAGCAGACTTTAAAAAAATCTTTTTAGGACCTGGAGTATATTTCAGTTTTTGTGGTTGTAATTGTATTGTAGACTCAGTAGCAAGGCTGTTTGTTAATCATGTTCATTTTGGTGGTGTGTAGGGACGAATTAGGGCAGGATCCATAACATGTACTGTCTACTTAGATGAGGCAGATATAATTGGAGAAAGGTCATAACAAAGTGAACACTTTAAGGATCTTAACTGCTAGTAATGTCATAACTGTAGATTTTTGGGATGGTGACCAAAAGAAAAGGAGGGGAAGATGACACAGGAAGGTGTGCTAAATGGAAAAAGATACGAAGGTCAGTAGAAAAGCAGAGCAGGTATGGAATTGCGCTATGATGAAGAGATTGGGGAGAAGATGATAAGAAATCACTAACCTTGGTTAGGAAGGAAAAAAGTGTTGTCGGAATGTGTCTTCAGCTGTTTTTTTCATATCTTCTTTCTCTACTGGGTCTGCCTGGTTTTCTCTTCCGTTTTTCTTGACAGTTAATAGAGGCAGGGAATTTAAGATGCATCAGTGTTTGCATATTATGTGTGGGTTTGGATGATGTTAGTCTCTTGACTGCCTGTGTTCAGAGGGATTCCTGGGTGGCAAGTGGTGTTTTAACATTGCGTATCTTCTTATTGTCACTGCCTTCTTCAAATCATTATTTGTATAAGTGACAAACTAGCTCCACCTTTGCCTTCTAACTGGCATTTCAGTTCTGTTGCTTTTTTTGATCTAACCATGTTCATTCTACTTCTGTTTACTCCCTGTGGCACTCTTCCTCTAACTGCAGTTCAGTGCTACCATGCTTGATATTCCTTGGCCAGCTGACAGCTCACTTATCTAATGCACGTGGAGCCTAACAGTTTCATAGACAGGTACTACTTCTTGTCCTGGGCTTCTGGTCAGTAGGGTTTTTTCCCAACCTATATAATGAACTTTACCCTGCATGTAGATGAACAGAAGTAATGGCTTCACAGAGGGGTATGAACTCTTCCTATTTAAATTGCTAACGTACAAGTCTGACTAATGTTAACATGTTTAGTCATCTACTTGTTGGCTGTTCTAGCAGAAATGTTAGTCAAGCATTCTTATATCACGGATGGAGTTGTAGTTTGTGAATAAATGAAATAACACCAGTTCTACCAGCAAATCTGAGTACTTTGTCCTCAGACTTGCTGTCAATATTTTTCTGAAAATACACAAGCAATCCTTAGTTGCCAAAATTACAGTTTTGGACAAATGTATGTTGTTCAGAAACATTTGACTTCAAAGTTAAGTATTTTTCCATTTGTATTGTGTATGTTCAGTTACATAGCCCAATACTTCATTCTTTATCTACTTTAACTTTACAATAATTCATTGAAAGAACAAACTCTGATAGCAGACTCAGCTGAAGGCAGGCATTTTAGCCAAAAATTCTGCTACTGTTAATATTTGAGCAGTTTGTAATGCACATAAATATTTGATTTATCACACAAAATATATTTTACAAAAACTTAGAACTGAATCAATCTGTGTTCCCCGAACTGTAGAATGTCAAATGATGAGAGCACTTTTATCAATCAGCATGGTTAGAATTTCAACACAGCAACTTTCTGCATTAGGTATTAAGTGATCTTGTTTGTCTTGATTAATTTTCTACTGCATATTTACATGGTTACTAGAAAACAGAGGGAGGGGAAGAGAGAGATGCATGTAACTGTTTTTGTAATTTTTTTCAGGTATTTTTAGCAGCAATGATGTAGCAGTATCATTTCCAAATGCAGTATCTGGCTCAGGATCTAGCACTCCCGTTTCCAGCTCTCATTTACCTCAGCAGGCTTCAGGCCACTTGCAGCAAGTGGGAGCTCTATCACCTTCAACTGCGCCTTCTATAACTACTGTTGTTGCTGCAACTCAGGTAAACCATCACAAGAGTTTAAGATAGCAAACCATGTTACTGATGTGCTTATTTTCAATGTTAAAAGAAACAACAATTTGTTTGGAAAATAGGTTAATAAACATTGTATTTGTTGTGAAAATGTTACAGTGGCTAGAAGTTCCCCATAATATTACATAGTCCCATCTTTGTAGAGCACATAGATTTTTAAAAATGGTCTGTGGAAGTGTATAGTAATAATGACTATATTATGACTAGTAGCATAAGTGCTGGTTACAATTCATCAGTGCTCTAACCAACTCTGTTATCAGAACAATGTTTTAAGAAAGGATTTAAAAGAGGAAAACACATAAAATTTTGCATGTTTCATGCAAAAATGCTGGTATCAGTTAAAGGAGCAGAGGGGTTTATTTGGGAGATTTGACAAATGGACAGCTAAGGCTAGCCCTGGCAAAGAGGTGGCCAAGGCTGACATCTTGATAGCAAATGAAAGTTGACGTACATGCTACAGTTTTGTATTTGGAAGGTCATACAAATGAAGATACGTAGTTCGTGTTTGATGGTGAAGGGATAAGGGAGGCATTGGAGGAGTGCAGAAGGGTGACATAGTCGAAGTAATGAACCAGAAAAAATATCTTTATGGTAGTTCTTTTTAATGAATTTAAGTTGGGCAAGATTGCATTTATCAAGGCAAGAGAGTATGAAGTTATTGTTGTAGAGAGCCACCATGTTTAAAGTATGAAGGAATAGTGTACTGGACATTATGTTTTTATACTTCGTGTTTCTTGTATTTTTCATTTTCTGATGGGAATCTGTGTTACAATGAATGTATCAAATATATCTTTTTTTTGTGTGCGTATCAGCCATCAACTTTTAATTTATAGAGTCTACAGTGACTTAAGATAGTGGATATAAACCTGAAGAATTAAAATCAAGCTTAATACATACATACTTACATGCGCGTGTGTGTACGTGCACACGCATGCATGTATAGTACATGTATATCAGAAATACTATGAGCAGGCCAACATAGAATACATTTCAGTATGAAATATCACTTTGTTGTTATAGGTGGCGGTTCATATTTTTACGTAATTCTTCTGGACTGGTTTCCTGAAGAAATAAGGCTTGCGTTATGCCAGTGCGACTTCTGTCTTGTAACTTTGGAACCTGTCGGCCAGTTTCAAACAAAATTGGGTGACATGTCTGTTGCATGAATTGATAGAAACTATTTTAAATAAATGAATTAAAAATACGATGCTTTGGCAAAGAGCCAATACAGCTTTTGTGAAGGGAAGTCACAACGAATTGGACTTAGTCCCTTCCCCCGCCCCTCCCCCCCAATTCCCAAAGAGTATTGCACAACATAACTCACTGAAGACACTTAAATTGAGCGGTCTGGAGATAAGGGGAGAGGTTGTGTCATAGTTTAGTAGCAGATTAAAAGATTTAAAAAACCCAAACAAGTAGATGCTCAGTTTTCACAGTGGAGAGGTTTACCATCAGAGTCTTGGAAAGATCAGTGTTACGGCCTTTTGTACAGCTCAACGTATTCATAAATGATCTAGGAAAAGGAGGAGGAACAGAAGCCAAGTTTGCTGATTATGCTAGGTTATGCAATGAGCTATTATGAAGATCAGCTGTCAAAAACTGCTGAAAGACCTCAGCAGCCTATGTTGACAAGGTGGTAAGAGGGCAAATGAAATTCATGTTAAAGGAAAAAGGCAGTTTCTATTCAAAACAGATACAGTATCAAAAGAGGTATAAGAAGAGCCATGGTCGTGAACAATGGCAAGGAACAGCCTCTTTATAAGGAATGAGTAAATAGTGTAGGACTCTTGGCCTGAAAAAGAGACGCTGAGATGGGATAAGAGAAGGGTCCATAAAATGACAAATGACATGGAAAAAGTTAAATAAGCAAGAATTGTGCACCATCACTTCTATTTGTTAAACTCTGTCAGAGGATAAACATCTTCGAAAAGCAATGGGACAGAGCCCATATTTAGCAGACAGGAACAGAAATACCGTAGTATTTTTTTCCTCATGTTGTCATAAGAAGGTGAAGTATACCCTAGGAGGTGCACTTTCTCTTAGTGTTTAGCTGAACTAGAGAGCCCCCCCTAGGTTAAGTGCTTAAAATTCCTGTCCTTCCTTTGGCTCTGTTTTTTGGGAGAGGTGTTTGGATTGTGGTTGTGGTTTTTTGGGTTTTTGCGTGATGATTTCCCCCCACCCCTCCCAGAGGAGTCTTGTATCTTACCTCAGTACCTAACTTGTTTTCAAGTGGTCATAGATTTACTTGTCAGGATCTTATTCACAGGTACTACATTTAAAGAGCCTTTCGGTTCTGAACTATAAAGGGAGGTTCAAATGGTCTGCCAGTTGGAAATTGGTGAAGGCATAGTCTTTGTTTTTTCTTATATCAGTGGTGTGAATGCATAAATTTCAACTTGGTCTTTCTACTATCTGAACCATTATACAGGCATTGATATTTCAACCAAACATCATGCCTCAGATAAGCTTTGTAGCATGACATGTCTCCAAGTTATGCTCTGCAACCAAGGCATCTATATTTATTGTCCCAACCTTTTTTCCATTCTGTATTCCCTGTCTTCACCATTTGCAGTTAGACTGGCACTTTTCCTTTTTGTCTGGCATCTAGTAACATCCAACAGGTAGGCAATGGAAGTTTCCAGTTGAGGCTAAATTGCTTTAAATGTCACCTTTCTGGGTTTTTTTACCTTGCTGATTTATCAATTTTGAGAGAAACTTCCTACAAAGAAGTTGTAGTGGCAAGAGGTGAACAGTTAGTTGGCTTTAAGGTCCATGGACACAGTTCTTCCTCATTCATGGGGAAAATGAGTTTACAGAGTACTTTCTAGAACGGAGGAGAAAGAAGATGGATGTCTGTTGTGAATTTTAAAATATTAAGTGCTTTCATGTCCTGGTTGAGGTTTAGATTGGTGCCACGTCTGTCATTGCCCAGGCAGATTAGATGCTTTTTCCCAACTTTCAAGACTTGAAAATACCAAGCAGGTCTCCCCGCCGGAAGTGTCTTTTGATTCACACTAAATCATGACAACCACCGACATGCCTTTGTTTTTCCTGGACTCTGAGAGTCTTTTTCAGTTTCACTTAATGAGGTTTTTACTAGTGTTTGAAGAGACTCAGTCAAGAGAGCCTATTTTACCATGCAGTTGTTCTCCAGTTCAAGAGAACCATTTTTTTTTAATGCGGTTATCGTAAATGACTGATTATACTTCAAGGGCTAGGGTTTTTACCTACTTAGTTCTGCAAAGTTTCATCAGAGTGCTGTGTCTGCTTACTGGGCTCTTGTGGATGTATTCTCAGTGTTTACCCACCTCTTGACCCGGAAAGTCTTCAAATAACGGTGTGCTAATGTATTTTTTTGTGTAGTGTTCTAATTAAAAGAAAATCAACCAAGATCCTAGGTGTACATACAAAGGTTATAAGTTAAGGTAAGCTTGTGCCTCTATAGCAAATAAAAAGTAATAAGTAAAAAAGTAGGTTTTATTTAAACTATTAGTTAAGAGAGCAAGTCTGCCCAAACTTTGGTTGCGCAGCTATTTGGTCAGGATGGCAGACATGCAATTGGAATAGTACTAAAAATTGGAAGAGCCTCAAAGATGTGCTGCTAAGGTGCACTCCTCTAAGATTTCAGTTGTTAGGTTTTCTTAGTCTCTATTGGGCATTTGTGATTATGATTTTTGGGACATCATAAATTTGTCAATTTTTGATGGAGTTTTTGCAACCTTTTTTTTAAAGCAAGGGTGTTAAGAAATTCTAAAGAGGTGGTCTTGGGGAAAAAAAAGTATTTCCATAGAATTAGTCTCAAAATTGGCTGAACTATTTTGATTAGGAGGTTATAGTAGACATCTAATACAGAAAATTTTGTTCATAGTGTTAAGAAAACTTGCAAGCAATTGAAATCAACTGTCCTAGAGTGAGAAAATGAGGTAATACTATGTGCCTTTTGTTATTTTTGAATAACTGCTATGCCCATATAAAACTTTAGTGATTAAGACCCCCAAGTGCTGCTTTTTCCTTCAACAACTAAACAACACTGATTTTAAACCTTAAAAAAAAAAACCAACTTGAAAATCCTGGATTTTGATTCTTTCATTCTATTGTCTAGTATGATAGTTCCCATAGTGTGGTTTTTGTTTGTTTGTTTTTAAGACAAAAACACAGTATGAGCCTGTTGCAATCACCTTTTCTTTTGTGTTTCATTCTCTTCTCCCTCATGCCACTCACCGTTTTTATTCCAATCTAATAAATCCAGAAGAGATTATTAGCTTGTGTTCCATGCTGTGCCATAACTGAATTTAAATGCTGGTGTTCCTCACCAGGTGGGAATCGGTGGTCTAGTAAAAATGCCACTTGCTGGAAATGCAGATTTTTTTGCATCCTATTCCTCTTTTTTGTGTCTTGGGCATAGCTTCAGATAGGTTGCACTGCTTAATTCAGTGAGGCTTTATTAGCATAACAATGCATTTAACAATTGCAAGAATATAGGAAAAAATGGGATACAGGAAAGAAGGTACAGCTCACACAAATATTTGCTCCTGGTTTTCTGTGAATTGAATCTCTTGATGTGCTTGTCTATACTGCCTGTTTTGCGTGTAACAGCAAATTACTATATCCCAAACTATTGTCTTTTCTCTCAGAAGCATGCCTTTAACTTTCGTATGAATATTAATTTGTGCTCTGTTATTGAGAAAAATCACTTTCTTGCATTTGGATTTTGAATAGTGTCTTAATTTTTCCCTATTAAGCCAAGTCACAAGTTACACCACTCTGAGGTCTTATGCTCAGTTTTTATCTCAAAGATTTCCTTGTGTTTCATAATTATAGCAGAAATGTTTGTCAGCCTGTTGTGTTGTTCTGTAAGTTTGCTGTGTTGCTCTTTCTGATAAGTTATTCGTAGTGATTAATATATGTTCATAAAAAAAGCGGTGACCTGGGTGCCTCAGTATCTTTTGGTATTGTACAGCAGGATTTGT